AAAATGAAGTATTGATTGAGGCTGAAATAGATACGGGAGAAGTCGAAGATGCATTTTCATGGAAAAAATTATGGAAATATACCGGTCCCGGTTAGTTTTTAATAGAGCATATTAATTAATTAAGTATTGCTATTCAAAAAAGAGTAGTTTATCTGAAAATTTTGCCTTTTCCACCTTGAAACTTTTTACTTAACAAGTTCATGAAAATAAATCATCTTACAAATAAATGTAAGGATCATTCTTTGATAATTCATTTTTTTTTTTTTTTAAAAAATTTCAAGGATTCTTAATGTCTATAGCATATTTAGATCCGGGTAACCTAGAAGGTAAACATATATTTTCAATGTAAATGTTGTAAATAAATTGATATAAAAAGCTAAATTTTTTTTTTTAAATAATAATAATAATAATAATAATAATAATAATAATAAAATTTATTAAGCCGACCTTCAATCTGGTGCATCCGCAGGATATTCATTGGTATTATTACTTGAGAATTTGTTTATTAATTCCAAATTGCTTAGTTTTTAATTGAATCATTTCGAATTTTGCAATAAAACAAACGTTTTTCAGCTCTGGTTGCTGTTAGTTGCACATATTGCTGGTCAATTAATACAGTGTTTGTCGGCTCGATTAGGGGTTGTTACAGGAGAACATCTTGCACAATTGATTAAACAACATTATTCGCGTCCAGTATCTATTGCATTTTGGATAATAACAGAAATTGCAATTATCGGTTCAGATATTCAAGAAATAGTTGGCACAGCGATTGCTTTCAGAATTATTTTTGGAATCCCACTTTGGGTAGGAACATTGTTAACGGCAATAGACACATTCACATTTATGCTATTGCAAAATTACGGCGTAAGAAAACTTGAAGCAGTATTCATGGTGTTGATTGGGACGATGGCGACGTGTTTTTGGATTGAAATGTATATGTGCAGTCCTGACGTTGGTGAAATAATTAAAGGTTCCTTAATTCCTATTATACCTAGGAGTGCTTATGTACAAGCTGTAGCAATGATAGGCGCATGTAAAGTGTTTTATTTTTTTATTTATTTATTTATTTATTTTATTTTATTTTATTTTTTTTTAAAAAAAAGGAAGCAAAGTTTGAATTAATATTAATTGATCCTTCACAGTTATTATGCCGCATAATTTATATCTTCACTCTGCTCTGGGTAAGTGGAATATCACGTGCTGATTCTTATCGTGTAACAGCAATAGAAAATTAACACCTTTTTTTTTTTAATAAATTTAGTGATGACGCGTAAAACCGATCCTTCATCTAATTCCAAAATCAAAGAATCAAACTTTTATTTTGCCATAGAGAGTGGAATCGCGTTATTTTTTTCATATTTAATTAACATGGCGATTGTTGTGGTTTTTGCCCGAGTTTTTTATTCACCTGACGAAGATAAACCTTTACCAGGTTTGTTTGACGCGGCCGACGTTTTATCAAATACTTTAGGAGGTGCATCCCGGTATTTATGGGCACTTGGTTTGTTGGCAGCTGGAAACAGTTCCACCATAACAGGAACTTTGGCTGGGCAATTTATTATTGAAGGATTTTTTGGAAAGATCTTTAGTAAATCATGGCATCGTTTAATCATAACACGATCCATTGCCTTGGTGCCTTCTATGCTTGTAGCTGTATATTCGGTAAGGTATCACATAAATGATTGACGGGGGGGTTTTTTTTTTTTTTTATTGTATATATATGTCAATTCATGTTTAATTATTTATATTTAGGTAAATGATTTCGATAATATGGGAGAATTTTTAAATGTCCTTCAAAGTCTTTGTCTTCCTACGGCGTTAATTCCATTAATGAAACTTACTAGTTCAAAATCCGTCATGAGTAAAAGTTTTCAAACGAGTAATATATGGAAATATATTTCATGGAGTTTAACTTTAATTATTATTGGAACGAATTTAATTTTATTTTTAATGTATTTAAATGAAGTGCCAAATTCATTTTTAGGGTATATTTGTGGAGGGCTTTACTTTATTTTTATAACTTATATTGCCCTTTTACCTATAAAAGAAGAAGCAACTCTTTGAGAATTTTTTTTAGATAAACTTTTAATAAATAATATTATTTTCTAATGTCCAAAAGAGCTGTAGATTCTTACTTTCAAAGGAAAGTGTCATGGTTTTCTGAACGCATTCGCCTTCAGAGAACGTACGTTGTGTAAGCTGTAATTAAAATTTTTTTATATGTTCTGCGTCAGATAGACCCATAATTTAGGCCAGTCGGCATCTGACGCAAATCGTCATCTGACGCAAAACATATATATATATAATTATGATTAAAAGATCCACCGATCAGGACGAATTAAAAATTTAAACAATATTATTGATTACGTATTTCCATATTTAAATGACAATTCGATTCCTTTTTTTTTTTTCTCTAAATAAAAATTTATTTACATTCTAATACTGATTAATGATAATATTGATTCCCCATGAAGGATTTTTCGTCGTCATCTTTCATGTGTAGTAAGAACGCGGTTTTCCGAATAGTGTGGCGCAGCAAGACCGACCTGGCTTTTAATTTAATTTAATCTATGACTTAATTCAAAGATTAATATTATAATAAAACAAGCAAATAAAATGCCTTTTATATTTATTCCAACCGATTTTACTCAATATCGATCAACATTAGTTTGGGCCGAAAATTAAGGGACATCAAACGAGTCATTGACGAACGCATTTAATATTTATATTAGATTTATTAGATACACAAATACTCAAATAAACAAAATACAATTATGAGACGATGATGTCCTTAAAGCTTGAAGCAACAAGAAGGCTGGAACACGAGAAATGATCAAACATTGTTATGACCGTGAAACTAATCATAAAAAAAGATGAAAGGTTTATAAAATTAAAAAATTAAATAAACTAATAAATGACACGTCGTTTATGTATTGATCTTTACCGTAATCATCGCATCTCGATTCAAAACAGCTCGAATATTAACGGTAAAATCTAATGCATTCTTACGTACTGCTTTTGACTTTGAGGCAATTGATTTCGCTTCAGGTTTGTTAATGCGCTTTCCAACTTTATTATTTTTTTCCAGTCTGAGAATAATACATTGAATGGTATAATTCTGCAGGGTCCAATGAGAATCGACTATACTCAAAAGGTCCATAACACTTGAAAGACCACTCAACATAGATTTTAAATGATCAGATATGGTACATCTATTACTCTTCAATTGATAATCGAGTCTTACATAGTTAATACCCGAAATCGCTGTAAGGAATCCAGTGACACCTGTGGAGCCTGCAATAGCACGAAAAAAAATTGTGCTAGTCCCGCCCGTTAAACCAGCAGCAGCTGTTCCTAAAATAAGTGCGCCTAAAGTAAGTCCGAGTCCCTTCGTGACTGAATCCGCTTGGTTTTTTTGATTAGTAATTTTTTCGATTTGTTCGCGTTCTTTTTTCATTGTAACAATAAATTTCATCATTAATATGGCTTATGGAATTTTTAATGGAGTCTAGTTGACCTTTTAATGATTCAGATTTCTCCTTGTTAATATTAGCCTCATTTAATAACTCTCTTAAATAATCCAATAAATCATCAGTACTAATAGTTGTATCTTGACAGTTGTCAGAGAATACAATCAAGTCATCGGCAAGAAATTACATAACTTTGTTTTATTGAGCTTTCGGAAAAAGCTCGAAATGCTGTACGCTGAGTAGAAATTTGATCAATCTTTTCTTTAATAAAGTTATCTTCAACTTGAAATTGTCTAAGCCAAGAGAAATGTGCCACAGATTCAATAATGCTTTTTTGTAAAGCATTTATCCCGATAGAATCATCATTAGATATTTCGATAGTGTTCGTCATAATTATTATTATTATTATTTTTTTTTTTAAAAAAAAAAAGAACACGCACTTAATATCAAATTTTTTTTTCCACTTACGCGCAAACCACTTAAATAAGTACATCATTGAAGCACATGTGATAGTCACGTGAAGCACGATTTCACAGTTATTTCTCTCTTTTACAAATTTTATATTTTTAATGAAATGAAGAATTTATAATATATAAACAGGATTCACGATATAATAAATATCATAATTACATCGAAAATAAAAAGCACCAAAGATAACAATTTGAAGAATCACTAAAAAAAAATAATAATATATAAATTAGAATGAATGAATTTTTTTTTGATTTAATAAAATTATGTAAATTTTCCTAACACTTACATCAATGGATAGGAGAGAATTACGAGTTACAAGATCTTTCAGGCGAATATGATTCGTTTTGCATACATTAAGTTGTTTCGTCCAAAGTTCTTCAATTGGAATGACTATTTGTCGCGGGATTTTATATTCCTTATTCTTATCCACTGATTTTAAAGTCTCAATATGCGCTTCAATGTTAATGATTTGATTATCCCAAAATTGGTCTAAAATCCCAACGTTCTGAACGATAATAGGAAGCTTTTCTTTAATTACCAAGATTTTTTCATTTTTTTCAATGTTTTGTTGTCGTTTTATTTCCTCAGTTCTTTTTAGTGGTTTACGTTGTTGACCATTCCCGAAAAATTTCATCCACCAGCGATATTGTTTGGGTTTAAATTGCCACAAAAGTCCAAACATTAAGAAAAAAGCCGCAAAACTCAAAAAACCAGCTGATGGTATGCTAATTCTATGATCCGTCAAACCTGGAGATATATTTTCCGGAATCCTTGACTGACCATTACAAGGTAAAGAAGGAAAAGATTCACCGTAATTGAATGTCTCAGAAGAAGAAGCTGGTTCCGAAGCTGGTTCAGTTGTAGATTTTGAAGCAGAATGTGGGTTCGTAATATCTTCCTTTGATTTATTTCCCTTAAAATAATTAAATATGTTGTTGATATATGATGTAAGCACTGATGCATCTGATGAATCATCGTTAGTCGATGTCCCGCAAAAAGGGTTCGGTTCATTAGGATGAAAATAGGAATTGCTATCTTTCGAAAAACCATCTTTCAATAATTCATCTTTCGGCAAATCAACTTTCGTTTCATCAGCGGGAATGTCAGAACTTTTTTGATTTTGTTCGTCAGGCTTACGAACTCCACTGTCTACACTTTCTTCAATGAAATTTAATAAGAAAGTGGTAAACGCGGTGGTGGAAAGAAATTGGTGGATGACATTTGATCCAAAATTACTGCGAGTAAATTTGAAAACACTATAACCAAATAATGCCGATATTACACCAATTTTTAAAGACTCTAGAGACATGAATTTTCTAGAGGGAGGGTTTCTGATGACGATTTGATTCTCGGTTGAATGATAATTTGGGACACTAGTAACATATATTGGGACATTGTCATCAACTTCTTTATTAAATCTTTCAAGAAATTCTTCGTAATTTTTTTTCAATTTCTTTGTATTTTTTTGTCTAATTTGTGCCGTATCCAATAAAGAAGATAAAGTTTCAAGGATTACTCCTATACTTGTATTTTCCTTTGAAAGTAATTGTATATATATAATAACATCCTCGATATATAATGAGAGTCTTAGAGATTCTACAGCTCTCTCTTCAGTTAAAGTGTTAAATTCACGACTAAAATTTTCAATTTTATCGTCATTTGTTCGAAGTTTGATATCCAAAATTCTACATTTATTCAAAGCTTCTAACGTTACTTTGGTTCGACTTTCAAGAATATCAAGGGACGGGAAATTTGGAGTTTCCCATAAACTTAAATTTATCGTCGTCATATTCGAAGGTTAAAAGGGAAAAAATATATATATGTATATTTTTTTCATTTTTCATTTTTTTTTTTTTTGAATCAATCTATATTGAATTTTTATTGTCACACAAGGAATTTATACCCTAAAAAAAGAGGGATAACCGAATATATTAGGAAAGAAAAATATAAATAATGAACGCGACAACTATTTTATGCTCCTAATAATCATCAAACCAAATTCAGTAGAAAATAAAATTCGTTATAGGAATTTTTTTCTTTATTTATGTGAAATGGTTACATTAAGAGTTTTACGTTTCTCTTGTTTCTCTTGTCACAAGATTACGTACTCTGATTTTTCCCCACCTATACGTTAGCATTCGACAAAGCTAATTGACGGTTCTCACTTGGATCAAAATATTAATCGATTATATTGAGAATCTCAATAAAAATTGTAATTTCCCATTCGAATTCTAAAGGTTTGATACCTTTAAGTATTTGTTCTATATTCATTTCTCTCGTCAACGCTACTTCAAAATCTCTTACCTCTTTTATTTCTCTTTTTATCTCTAGTGAAATGATATATGCTAGGCGCACAACCATAATTCTTAGGAAAAAACGAGGCATCATCTTTCTTCTTTATATTCAATTTCCACAAACAAGTACGGACAAGCATTGTATGATTGCTAAACATCTAAACTTCGCCTTAACGTTAATTTTTGTAAAATTTACTGTAATTGGTAAAATTTGTTGCTGATCATCACCAAAATTATAAAAGCACGTTTTCATTTTTTAAAAGTAACGCGAAATTTTTTAATGCCGCATTGCCAAATTGTGGACTATGCAACACATAATTGTGATAAAAAATGTTATCAAAAGTATTGTTTAATTAAATTTGAAAAATTAAAGCCAAAAGTTTATTTTATATTATCTATATAATAAAGAATAATAAACTTTATATATTTAATATTGATGATTACCATGCAACTCACAACTGGAACATCCTTTCTTCACCAAAAAATTATTGCATAAGCAATAAACCCTTATTGCAAATCATCCCATGTATGATGGTGAAGTATTAAATTTGTGGTCATGTTATCATTGGGGTTGCCTTATACATTTAAAATATAGGTATATTGTGAAGATTTAGTAAATCGACAAAATTAATCGAATGCCAATTGTCACGCGATCGATTTATTTCGTGTGGGTCGTTCCCGA